CTTTTGGTCGATTAAACGTGCTTGTTTTTGACGAAGAGTTTTCCGTAACCACTAAATTTCTAAATACAGCCTCGATTGAAAGTGTTAAGGACAACGCGACAAGACCAAATGGTAGTCTAAGGTCCATGGTCAAACGTCGAACTTCACTTGCGCCGAACCTGATACAAATGCGCAACAGCTATTGTTTTTGCCGTTGTCGCGCTTGGATCTTTTTCGACGACACGTCTCGGTCTTTGTAGATTCTTCTAGCTCCTGATTGATTGATATTTTTTGTCATTTCACAATAAAACATGATAAATTGAGAAAGATTTAAACCACTTTGGTTAGAACTAAACGATTGTCCAACGTCATTATCAAGTCAAAATGGATACAATATGGTAAAATGGGCATTTTTTTTAAAATTCTATTGCAGTGTCTTACAATAGTTATTGTTTTGATTTCAGGCGGAGCTGATTCGTCGTTATGACACAACTCTCAAGAAACCTCGAGGAGATTAGGACAGTGGACGTGCCTCAGCGTTTTGAGTTGTAAAAAGTTATTTTAGTGTTATTATTTTTCATAAGAAAGTTTATATATTATTTAAAGAATTAGTCCTACTTGTTGCAGTTCAAGAAAAACTGACATTCTTTTGAATGAACAGCAAAATAATAATTTAAAATTTGAATTATAAATTGAGAAGCTCTCTCCTTTTTTCATAAACTCATTAGATGTTTTGTCGGGCAACAAGTTTCTTTTTGGTCGAAATCCTTGCCGCTAGATTCGCGAATCCCGATGTTTTTGGCGAATATGTTACTGGTTAACGAAGTGTTTCACAAAGACCTTAATGTGACCAAAGCGATCTCATGCACAACAATGCCGCTTCCAGTTTCCACTAGCTTCGATTGTGTGGGTTTGACAGGCTAGTGTTAATAGAAACGTGAATCAACCAATACAATTACAAGCCAAACTAAGGTCGGCAAAACTGATTAATAGCAATAATTAAATCTGCAATAAAATCGCCCATCTAAATTAGCCGTTCAATTGTTTTGAGACTTGCTAATAAATGATTTACTTATGGATAGAGGAGGGACTGGACACTTGTGCGTGTGACCGCTGCGTCACATGACAGCTTTCGGAGCGTTCGAGTGCCATCTGTGACTGGACAAAAACAGTCGGGCACGTTTGGATACTTCAAGGAGGATTTGACGAAAAAGACGCTTGTTGCTTGACTAGGTTATAATAGTGGGAATAATAAGTAACGTTATATTTTGTTGAATCACGCACTGTCGTAACTATTTTGAGTTTCCTCACGCATTCACGCACGTTACTTCACAACGGTTCATTCAACTGGCTTTTTTCCAGTTTCCTTTCAAATTAACCAAGTATGGAGAAACCTGCTCTCCAACATCCATTTATGTTAATGTTAAATGGTTTTTGACCTTGTTAATTTATGAAGGTTTTGTACCTAGTAGTTTCTGTATATTTTGTTTAGAGAAGCGTTCGCCTCGACGTTGGCACTCGGCGAAAGTTGTTGACATCTTTTTGACATCGTCTAGACCAGAAGGCGGAGTTGTTTGTTTTATGATTGGCTGAGAAGTTTGGAAAACCAACGAAAAGTCAAATCTTCTGCGTGTCGGGACGAAAACGTAACGCAAGTTTATTTTTTTGTCATAAAAGTACAATTTTCTGATGTTTTTTCTACTTATTCCGAAGTATTTTAGTTATATGTAAGACTACAATGAATGGTCAGTCGAGTTAACATGCCTTAGAAATCTTAAGGAAATTACCAACATTTATTCTAAAAACTTATTATATCGACTTTCGGAAACCATGTAGAAAGTTATAATTTACTCTTCTGGATATTTTACAAATCGGAAATTTAGTAATCAGAGAATACTACAAAACATTCTGGTTACGTTAGATTCTACATTACACTGTTTATATAATTTTGTAATGACCATCTTTACATGAACCACATAAGATCACGTCTTTCATCTAGAATTCGTATTCACCCTCTAATTGTTTGTAAATTGTGTTTTTGTGCAACTGATAACATTTCTGTTGTTGTCAATGATGTATTGCAGAGGTACGAATATAATAATGCTATATCTATTTATTATTAGCCAATAGTTAAAGTTAAAAAAAAGAAAGAATTGTTGTGAGTTGTTATAACCCAAGTTGAAATAGATTGGACTATGTGAACAATAAAGTGAAGTGTTAATGCATGCGGGGTTTTGTGGTCAGGATTCTTCAGAGTGGCAGATCAACCCAAATAAAACGGATACAAAATAAAGCTTGCAGTTCAGAAAGGTCTGATTTTCATTTATTTCATCTTATTTTATTTAGTGTTTGTGGTGCCTACGATAGACGGATTCCGCCAATGTGTTGACATCCTTTTTGCCACGCAATTCAGATTTTATGATGATTCATTTGGGAGGTTACAATTGTTCTGTTTGTACTTACTCGCATGCAATCAGTTGAGTGTGACAAATTGCACAATTGAAACGTCCCAAATGAATCATCGCGTGGTCTGAATTGGGTGGCAACAAGTGAAAACACGTTAGCTTTATCCGTCTATTTTTGATGTGAATAATTCCTTCCGAAGCTGTAACCGCAACTATCTCTTTTTATATCTTGGTCACGTTACCTGACGTTTCCAAACTGTGTGTTGGCGAGGTTTTGACATGTTGTTATCACTGATGTAAACAAGTTTGGATTCTTTGTACGCTAACAATATTGAGTTATTTCTTCATACTTTGAGCTGTGTGTTCTGAAAACTGGCAAAGTTGGAATGTCAGTTTCGCAGTCACGTTCAAGGTCACGCTATAAGCACGTTACAGACACTTTCGTCTAAATATTTAATGGTCTGAAACGGTAAATAGCGTATTTATTTCGTGTCGTAGTTAGGCGACTTGCTTTCCCCACTGACTAACCTTCCCTAAGCTGAAAGGAACGATCACATGGCGAACTCGATGAGCCGATTTTTTCCTGGTCTAGATATCGCGACAGACAAAGTTCGCAAACCGAGTAATCTCAGCAATAGTTTTTTTGAGTCTTGTCTCAAAATATCAACAAAAATGTCGTCTAGTGTTAAAGAATCGTTTGAGAGTTTACTTATGGCACAAAGGCACTTTAACACGTGGCGCACAATAAACCAGGTGTGAATCTATTGTCTGAACAAGTTTGAACAGTTTGGCGCTTCAGGCTAGTAAGCACTGTACGCGGAAAGAAAAAAAGAAAAATGTCGTGTTTTCTTACGCGCGTAGACGGATGTTGATTTTAAAGACTTTTCGTGCGTAAAATAAAATAGAATAATTGTATGGACGCCTTACCCAGGCGGAAAAAGTTGAACCTTATTCAAGTTTTTCCGCAGACGCAAGCCGTCTATGCGCTTCCGATACTATTTTAGGCGCGTAAAACGCTTAAAATTCACGCCCATTGACGGGCGTGAAATTACACGACAGCGGAAAGCGCGCTTTAGTTTCACGAGAAAAAAGTCGAACAAAGTATTCAGAACATTCTCTCTTTCAAAAGTTTTTCGCATTCACGATCAAACCCTTATCTCATACAAGTTATTTGTAAATCTTGAATTTTCACCATCTGGTATAAAGAAAGATGAAAGATTACAGAAATGTTTGATTAGGAATAGCCATCTTTCGCCACACCAGCTACTAATGATACAAGTTTTTACAATCTTTCGTAATCTAGTCCAAACTGTTTTAAGCTAATTCCATATTCCTGTCCGTCGGCTTTCTGCGCGCTTTTTTTTCGCTGTTTTAACTGATGCCTTCATCTGAGTGTTAAGACGGTTTGTCTTTGACTGAATCGCACGCAAAACGCCCTAAACAATACCGTTACCTACCGCTGTAGGTTTCGCTATTGATGTTTTCAAAAGGGACAAAACACCATGAAATTCTCTAGTGGCGTCCAGGCTACCCGGCCGGTGAATCGTCTCTAATTGCTCAGCTGGTGTTTGGAGTTGCAATGTTCTCTTCGGACACGTGCTCATCGCTCAATCAAACTAAAAGTTCTTGTTGACAAAGCGCGCAACAAACAAGAAATCTCGTAACATGGATTACATCGGCTGCACACTTTGCGTTCATCTATTCAGGATTAAACTGACTAAATACATTTTCGTGCCATAACAAGCTTAAAATCTTTCGCCAGCTAAATAAAGAGCAAAACTTGCCTATTGAAGCTGGTGTATTGCTAGGTAACGCAATTGAAGCGACCGCCGCCCAGATAATATTATTAGTGCGCCCGGAAAAACCGAATTACATTGTTTTGTAGATTCGGTGACAACTGACTGGCAGCATCATACTAAGAGGTTGGGACTGTATCTATCGGTCTTTCGGAAATATTGAATAGTTTTATTACGCTGTCAGGACTGTTGTCAGCGAAGTTCATACCAAGATATCTTGTTAGCGGGGCAAGCGATAAGAAGAACCACTGCTTGTCGCAAAAAAGATGTCCGAGGAGGGTAGTGTGAGTCAGTGCTTGGAGTTGCTTGGTCTGCAGGAGTTTGCCCCTCAGTTGATGGATCATGGATTTGATCGGCTTCATGACATCTTGTGTTTAGACCAAGACGATTTTGCTATGCTAATTCGTGACGAGGAGATGAAGACTAGGTACAAAACTGCGCTACAGCAAGGTAACAATACGTAGGTGTCATTAACTCATTTCTGGGCGCGGGGGGGTTAGCAAGCTTTTTGAATCAATTATTGTTAAGTGGTATACCTTCAAGGAATAACTGCAAGCTGAAATAAAGTAAAGCTTTAGACTTGCTAATTGAAACAGGCCAAGTTAAATCTCTCGTGAGTTTTTCCCATTGCTTGCACGAGCCCAGAAACCCAGTGACGTGCACTATCTAATACAAATAAACGTTCCAAGGTTTTTCATCTTTCAAACTTTACTCTCTCAAGGCAGCTGATGTTCACAGCGAAATGGAGTAATTGGTTTGGACTTACTCGTCTCTGATAAAGTACGTGTGGTCCGTTCTTCATGCAAATATTGTCAATATTCACTTGCTGGTGAATGAACGGCGACACGTGACTCAGCACGCGGTGTTTATGAAACTTCCGCCGGTAGTAAGGAGGTCTGACATATAAGCATATTGCACGCGTCCGGTCGAAATTGGATAGCCGTGCGATATTGAGATTATTTTTACCCGTAGTGTTTTATAAGCGACAAGCGCATTGATATCTGATACAAATACGCTAATAAGTCCAAACAAAACTTGTGGTGCGTTGATGCGTAAAACACGTGTTGGTTAACAATGTCTTTTATTCATAGATATCAAGAAATGTCAAAACAAACAAAACACGTTATTATTTATTTGACTAATGTTATAACTGCAACCAGTCCTTCTTTCTAATGAACTGCTGAATGAAAAGCGAAAAACTGAACAGTAACAAACTGGCCCACCGAACAATATGGAAAAGAAAAATTCTTACGGCGCGAGTTTTCTTTTAGGTACTTTTTCTTTCCAAGTGGGATTTTCTTATCCCTCGCGTAGTTTTATGACCTTGACACGACCATGTCCTTGCAAACAGTGAATTTTATATTTCTCTCTTGAAAATGAGTTCACTTTTTTTGGAATTAAGCTTTGGAATATATTAGTGTCCATAGTTAGACGCGTCAACTTGACCAACCGGGGGATCCTTTCAGTTGCCTCCTCGCTTCTGTTTGTAACAGAAAGGATAATTTGACAACTGTTGTATGACAGCTGTGGCACGCGTGACTCAACACGTGACTTTATTTTGTTAGATACTCTAACACGAAGCTCGATCAGGGAGGCAGTAGAAAAATGCCCCGGGAACTCTCCCATGAGCGGGGACTCCCATGTGAATAGGTAGGGGATGCCCGTTGGAAAATTTGAATTAAATCCTTAAAGGAGACCACTCTGGTCGTGGCTGGAGCTTTATTTGACCCCTAAAAGATACCACTTAGGTATCTTAAAACGGCTTGACGGCTTATTTTTTTGAGTGCTAACCTGAAAGATACCTTGACGACTAAAAAAAAGTGGCTTTTCGTCCTGAAAATCCTAATTGAGACCAAAATCCGTGATTTATACCCTTAAGTGAGACGACGAACGTCTACAGCCTTTGCCAAAAAGATCTATCCCTGGAAAAAGATGGGGTCGTCATAGTTGAACACAATTATTTGCCTTCAGATCCTAGACTGGTGAAAATATGGCTCAAGTCTCTTGGACTGGGGCAGTATTATGATCAGTTACAGGCCTCTGGATTTACAAGTCTGGCCAGGTGCTCTGCTTTGAGCCTTCAGGCATTGGACAGTGTGAACTTCAATCTACCAGGCCACAAGAAAAGACTCTTCAAGGCAGGTATGACATGCGTGCAATTGCGTGCAAAGAACTTGCACTGGTAGTGGCATTAGTGGCTCGCAAACTATGTTTGTGTATCGTGGAGGTCTGTTACACTCTGTTCAGCCTACTCGAAGATCGAATCGACGCCGCATGTAAAAGTACAGGTTATATAAATTAATTCGAATCTACCTGTTACTGGCCTTTCCTTCAATGCTTCACTGATAACAGCCTGTTATTTCTTGTCAGCAATGTTCGCTTGCAAGTTTGTCATAAAAATTCGTGTAAGACTGGCTAGTACGTTTGTGTTAGGCTACAGCTTTATCAGTAGAACTTTAGCCAATCACAAAGGACACAAACAACACAGTGAACCAATCAAAACTCCAAGTAATTACATGTAGCTTACGCGAAGCGCGGGAAAACGTGTATGGACGAGTCATAACTGGTTTTCGGTTTACTCCTGATTGGATGTCAAAGTGGCGCGAGTTTTTTAAGCCAATCGTGTAGCGTTGTAAGTGCAAAACCAATTACTTTTCGACACTCAAATGAAAATTCCTTAAGATAGCCTATGACCAAACGCTCTTGGTAGTTATTAGAGTTGGGGTGAGGAGGGAAGGAGAGAGCTTGCTCACAAGCTATCCTTTCGATTGATGCTAGATTCTTTTCAGCTCAGAGCCTATTGGGATGCGGAACAGTGATGGCAGAGGGAACCTGGGATGAGCACGAGCAGTTTATGGGAGGAAGGTGAGAAGCAAAGTAATAACAACTTAGTGGGTGTGATCCCCTGGGGGTGGTAGGGAGAAGATGAAATCTTTTCTTCTCAAATGAGGGCGTTATCAAACGGAACCTATGCAATTAGCCTGCGCGGGCCTTGACATTAAAGGGTAAGAAAGACAGTGACAAAACACTCCTTTAAAAAGATATTAACAAACTTATGAAAACAAAACAAAACAAAAAAGGAATTGGATATACCGAGAAATGAAACGAAAAAAATTCGCCCGCAGTCCGTCTGGGTTACAAGTAGGTATCTTAACTTCCCTTACAGGTTCGGTAAATTTCTTTGTCTCACAGCTGACATTTTTGCCCGTGATCCGCGGGACGCGCGGGACAATCAGGATGGAAGCGCCACAGCCGTCCCGCAAAGAAGACTGAAGTTCATGATTGATTCTGGCAGTGACACGGTGACGGTGCATTATGACGTCATCAGAGAATTGCGCTTGCCAATTAAGGGAGCTGTCATACAGGAGGGGGCCGGCGGGGAGAAACAAGAAAAGCCCTTATATAGCGCATACCTTGGAATCGGAGAGAAGACACTGGACATCGAGGTAACAGCACGAGTTTTTCAAGTTCGACCTCATTCTTCCCCAACTTTAACCTTCCCTGTACCTTTTTCGTTTATCACCTCTTTCAAGTTTTTGCTGTTGTTGTTGTTGTTGTTGTAATTTTTCAATTCAAAGAATGTTTTTGCAGTAAAATTGACCAAGACTATGATGTCATAGAGTAGAACGTCGTTAATACGGTCACTTCTGGGTCGTGAAATGACATGTTAGTAATGGTTAGGTAAAATTACTTAAGAAATAGAGGTGTGCGACTCTAAAAAGTGCCTGTCGGCAATATTTATTTCTGATGGTCATCTTCACTATATAGAAGTCTCCCGGAGGATCGTTTGATTGTGGTATCTGATGACCACTCCCGTTAACTGTGGCAGTCCCCCAGGGAATTAGAATCTTTATCACTTCACCGCATGGCTAAGTCTCATTGCTATTTCTAGGTAGTTCCAGACAAGGTGAATACCCTCGGTACCCCTGTGCTGTGGGAATTCCGCCATTGCATCGACGGAGAGAAGCATTTGTGGCTTGCCAAGCATCATGGGGATTAAGCTGACGCCAAACTTGAAGGGACGTTTAGAAAACGTAAACCTCTGAACGGTGATGTAGAATGAGCGCGCTAATGGTTTTACTATTCAAAACATTTTGCTTTTAAGTATTTTTTACATTTTTTCTAGTTTTCAAGGCAGTCGGCCTCTTGTATAATCGTTATTAGATTTACAGTTATGGAGATGCATGGCTTAGAATAGTTGTGATTACTTTAGCTTCTTTGCACTTAAAATGTAATTTTTCCTTTATCCAAGAAACGCGGACATCGTCTTGTTTGCAACGTGACGTTATATTTGAATGGAAATAAAACTTGCTTTTTTGTTTTGCCTTTTGCAAAGTCATGGTGTATTTGTATTTGCATTTTTTATTTCTCCACTTCAAGATTGGAATACAACAAGGTTAAAAGAACTTGAGGGGAGTGGAAAGGGCATCCAGTCTTTGTAAATATCTCAACCACCTACAATGCAACGTTGGAAAATTTTTATCAGTTAAACACTGACTGTGCGATATCGTAGGCTAATCGAGTTTGTTTAAAAAGTTTGTTTAAAAAGAACTGGAGAAGGACAATAAGACATCACGGTTATTGACCAGCTTTCAAGATGACTGGATTTTGGCCAAGTTCTTTTTTCGCGGCTTTATGGATCGAGACGGAGTCGAGGTCCAGAATCTCGCAAAAAACGAACGAGGCCAATATCCAGCAATCTTGGTCAAACAAGCTTGGTCAATAAAGAATTTTATTATAATGCTTTTGGGAAAAGGTTTCTTGCGGGACACAGCGGGTCATCCCGAACGGGTAAGAGAGCGCCATCTTGCCCGCTCGGGTTGCAAATCACAGCGCAGGATTTGATTTATCTTTCCCGCTCACGTAGCTGGCCATACAGATATTACCTTCTCTCCATAGTGACCGATTGCGTGAACTGCAAAGTCATCGCCACCTCAAGAACGAATACGATCAATAAGTTTTGCTAAATTGTCTTGGAAACGGTTATATGTTGAAAGCATTCTCTTAACGTTCGTTCTGCAACATGACGGGACGCACGGGCGTCTACTGTAAGTACCGCAGAGAAATGGTAGGAAATTTTTCTAGCATTCCTTACATACTCTCAATAGGGTTCTTCGCCTTGCGGCCAGGGAAAGCGTCATAATCTGTTTCAGTGACATGTCGATGATATTAAATAGAAAATAAACCAGAAAGGGCCGATGGAATATGAGACAACCT